GGTTACGTGCTGGGCCTGCACTCTGGGTCAAATGAGGATCCTCGGGCTCCCGGGGTCGTCTCACTCACTCTCCAGGCCTGAGCTCCGGGTCTATTCAGGATCCCATGGCCCTCGGTCTTCTCACTCACTCGGGGGCCTGCGCTCTGGGTCTTTTCAGGATCCGGAGGGCCGCAGGTTGTCTCACTCACTCTCTGGGCCTGTGGGCCTGCGCTCTGAGTCTATTCAGGATCCCGCGGCCCTGGGTCATCTCACTTACTTGCCGGGCCTGTGCTCTCTCTCGTTGCGCTTCTTCATTATCCATGATGCCTGCTGAGGTTGTCAATATATCAAAACCAAACTACAAGTTGAGAGCAGGTCATTCTGCCATTTTTCCAGGTCTTTCAGCTGTATATCAAACCTGGGGCTGATCATGCCACACTTGTTTAATTGCCTGTGATGTTCACAACAATTTTTCCAGTCCTGTGATCATCAATGATTTCAAATTTGCCAATGTGACCATGCTTCATCATCACAGTTAGAAACTGGACAGTGACTTTGGAGCATGGCCTAATGAGGACATGGCATTTGCCTCTCTTTTTGGCATTGTTGATGCTCTTGAGAGCATCAGCCAGGACTTTCACGCGCACCATTATGGCGGCACAGAAAGATGGTGGAAAGAGCAATGTTTTGACTTTTATTGTTCTGTTTTGTTCTTGTTTTTATTTCTTCCTTCTTTTTTTCTTGTCTTCTTCATCAGCTTCCCAAAGTTTGTGTAATCTTATTTTTCTTTTAGCCTTGCTTCTAATCTCTTTCTCTTCTATTTCTCTATTTTTTACCTAAACTCTTTTGAATTTTCTCCCCTGAGGGTAAATCACCATATTGAAGGCATGTTTGCTGTATACAATTTTCTGGTACAGTTTAGATTTTGTTATAGAACTGCAAATGTGACTCGTATGGTTAAAGGTGGCAAATCTTCTGGGCTGTGTTTGATGTTATTGTTATTACACAATACAACGCAGGCCCAGTGAGTGTTATATTAATATAACAATTATGTTATGTTATTTGTATTAGAACATTTACAAATTGTTCTTACCAATTGTTTTTTTAAAAAATGGGTTTTAAAAAATGGAATTTATGAAACTAATTCAAAAATATCCAGAACATTAAAAATTCTTCCTGGTTTACCAAGACTGAGATTGCCTAAGGGTCATAAACAATACTGTAGTGCAGTGCCTAAGAGCTAGGGTATGGGGCAAGTAGGCAGCAACTTCTCATACCCAATAAGTTGAAAGGGCAGGATCTTGCAACAGACTCAAAATCCAAGAGCCAGCTACGTCTGGAAGATATTTCTGAGAAGTGGTCATTTCCTAAGTGTTTTAAATACTAGAAACAAAACTACATGTCCTATGCAATTTATATGCATCAATCTAGGAATTAGGCAAAGAAAGCAAATGAGAAAACACTTTTTTTGGTGGAACCGGGGATTGAACTCAGGCCCTTGCACTTGCCAGGGAAGTGCTTATTCTACTCAGACATCTCCCTGATGCTATGAGAAAACACTTAAACAAGATGCAACCCCAGACGTGCAGTTCAGCAAATTCAAAGCCAGGAGTGAATTAAGTAGAACAATCTGAAAGCTATTTGTCTGGACTCTGAAGTGTTAACAATGAAAGTAACTGAGCAGATGAATGAGAGTTTAGAAAAAAAAAATCAAATCAAATAATTTCTCAAATAACTACAGAGATGGTGATCATAGTGAAAAATATGCTTAGTGACTCTAGAGGAGATACAAATAAAAGAATAGAGGTGCTTAGCAAAATGATAGAAACCATGAACACCCAACATAGGAAAAAATGGAATTTATGAAACTAATTCAAAAATATCCAGGACATTAAAAATTCCATTGAAGCGTATGCAGCAGAATGAGCCAACATGAGGCCAGAATATCAGATATAGAAGAATTCTAGTTTGTGATCATGAAAAGAAAGATTTCTTTAAAACAGCAAAGGACCATGAAAAATCAGTCAGGTGCTAGACAATGCAAAGAAAAATAACATAAACTTGATTGGAATCAATGAAAAAGCAGGGGACAGTACAACTGACAAAAAACAAAAAAACTCAAAAAACAAAAAAAGCCAAACCTGTTTGCTGAAGTAATGCATAAAATTTCTCAAGCAGGGAAAAACTTTGACATATAGTTAAGTGAGGCATATAAAACTCCAACTAGCCTTAATAAAACTAAACTGGGGATAGCTCAGTAGAATAAGTGCTTGCCTTGCAAGTGCAAGGTCCTGAGTTCAATCCCCGGTACCACAAAAAAAAAAAACAACAACAACAACAACAACAACAAACAAACAAACAAAAAAAAACTTGCAATCTCTACAGCTACTTTCTCTTAGTTCAGTGAGAAGAAAGATTTGTAGTAATAGTATTTGGACAGGATATCCTGTCTGCATCTTGTACTATGAATAACTACTATGAAGACAACAATATCCAACAAACTGTCCTACTAACCTTTTCTCAGAAAAATTAATAAAAGAGAAAAAAAACTAAGTCAGGTGTGGTGGCACACACCTATAATGTGAGCACTTGGGAGGCTGATGCAAGAGGATTGCCACAAGTTTGAAGCCAGCCTGGGATAAATAGTTCAAGACCTGTCTGTTGAGACCCTCTCTCAAAACAAAATTACACCAAGGCATGTAATGATCAAGATTCTAGAAATTCAGTACAAGGACAGAATATTAAAAGCTAGTCAAGAAAAGAAGCAAGTCAGTTATAAAAGAAAACCCATCAGAATCACAGGAGACTTTGCAACATAACCCCCAACTCGGCCATCTTCCCGGCAAAGACACCAACCCCCACCCTCCTCTGATTCAGACAGCGAAGGCCTGCTCCCTAACAGTTAGGCACATAATATTTAATTCCAGACAGAAGCCAGCAGACAAGATTTCATTTTGCTTGTGTGTTATATGGCCACAGGACCAGTGCCATAGCTAACCTCTCTGTTTCTCCACCTTCTTCCTCCCCTTTTCAGCTATTTAGGCACCTTGCAGCCAGGAGGCGGGGCCGGCAAGGCGAAGAAGAGGGCGTGACCTGGAGCCCGCCTACACGGCCCTGCCCCGCGGATGACGCAGGGGGGGTGGAGATTCGTGCCTCCAGGCTGAGATCCCGAAGTCCCAAACTAGCGAGTCACGCAGCTCTGTTCCGTCAGCCGTGTGACACCACGCTACCTTGTCCTCCCTGGTCTACGCCGGAAGTGTAGGAAGAAAGTGGGCAGATTTGAATCTACCTGTTTCCAAGCTGGTTGATCATCATGAAATTTAGACAAAAAACTAAAAAGTCAGGTAAAGGTTCCAAAGGCTGTAAGAAGCCTGCAAAGCAAAATGGGAAGAAAACAACCTCCAGAGTGTCTTCCACTTCCCGTTTTGTTCACTGCAATGATCACGCCAGCCGAGAGGGGGCATTAAAGAAGAAGAGGGTTGAGGAGATGAGGGAGAAGCAGCAAGCTGCCCGGGAGCAAGAGAAACACAAGCACAGAACCATTGAGAATTACTGTCAGGATGTCCTGAGACGTCAGGAGGAGTTTGAACGCAAGGAGGAAGTTTTGCAGGAATTAAATAGGTTTCCTCAGTTGGATGATGAGGCCTCAAGAAGGGCTTTTTACAGGGAGTTCCGCAAGGTGGTGGAATACTCTGATGTGATTCTGGAAGTCCTGGATGCCAGAGACCCATTGGGCTGTCGCTGTTTCCAAATGGAAGAGGCTGTTTTTCAGGCAGAAGGCAACAAGAAGCTGGTCCTTGTTTTGAACAAAATTGACCTGGTTCCCAAAGAGGTTGTGGCGAAATGGCTAGATTACCTTTGCAATGAGCTGCCAACAGTGGCTTTCAAAGCCAGCACCCAGCATCAGGTCAAGAAATTGAATCGGTGCCGTGTGCCAGTGGAGCAAGCCTCTGAGTCACTGCTGAAAAGCAAAGCCTGCTTTGGAGCTGAAAACCTCATGAGGGTTCTGGGGAACTATTGCCTCTTGGGTGAAGTGCGTACCCACATTCGTGTGGGTGTTGTGGGACTTCCCAATGTTGGGAAGAGTAGCCTGATCAATAGCCTGAAGCGCAGCCGTGCATGCAGTGTGGGAGCTGTTCCTGGGGTAACTAAATTCATGCAGGAGGTCTACCTGGATAAGTTTATCAGGCTGCTGGATGCCCCAGGCATTGTCCCAGGACCCAACTCAGAGGTGGGTGCCATCCTGCGCAACTGCATCGATGTGCAGAAGCTGGCAGACCCTGTGACTCCAGTGGAGACTATCTTGAAGCACTGCAGTCTGGAGGAACTTTCCAACTATTATGGTGTATCTGGGTTCCAGACTACTGAGCACTTTCTCACTGCAGTGGCCCACCGCTTAGGAAGGAAGAAAAAGGGAGGCTTATATAGTCAAGAGCAGGCTGCCAAAGCTGTCCTGGGTGACTGGGTGAGTGGGAAGATCAGCTTCTATATACTACCACCACCCACGCACACTCTGCCTACTCATCTCAGTGCTGAGATTGTTAAGGAGATGACTGAGATCTTTGACATTGAGGATATTGAGCAGGCCAATGAAGACACCATGGAATGCTTGGCCACAGGAGAATCTGATGAGCTTTTGGGTGACATAGACCCACTTGAAATGGAGATCAAGAGGCTGCATTCTCCAGTGATGAAAATACCAGATGCCATTGAAAATATAACTACCGTATATCAGAGTGGAGATCTTGCTGGGTGTCATGCCAATCCAAACTATTATCAAGTGGGATGGGCTAAACGCAATGTCGACCACCACCACACCAAGAGCAATAATGTGGTAGAGGTCAGTTCAGTGGACCGTCGCCCAGTTCTGCAGAGAATTATAGAGACAGACCCCCTGTAACAGGGCCAGGTTCTGGCATCTGCCCTGAAGAATAAGAAGATGCAGAAGCGTACAGACAAAATTGCCAGCAAGCTTTCTGATTCCATGATGTCTATCCTGTACCTTTCTGGCAATGGTGATAACAGTGCTGGTGACTAATCCAATGATCTCATCCCCTTCCCCAAGCCGTGGTTCCTGTGGGATGGAAGAAAAGAGTTTGGGTCTCTGAAGTACCTGTATAATAAAAGAACCTCTTGCATACCATGTGTCCTCTCCCTTCACTGTTTCCTCTATTCTGTCCAATTTAAAAAAATCTGGAGCCACTAAGTCTAGTAACTTTTATTTAATCCCTACTGTGTTTTATGAGAGACATAAAATACCAGTGGAGCCCAGGTGCTAAATAGTTTTATCTCTCACCCTCTGTTGTGTATTGGGTTGACTTGAAGGCTGTATTACAACAAACCCTCTTGGACAACTGAATGTACAGCTAGATAATGGACTGCTGATAGACCTGATGGTTCCTGGGAAGATATTTTCTTTATTACTGTGTAAGAGATTTCAGCACCAAGGTGTTTCAGTAGTGGATTCCTGGCCATGCATCGTTCAAGTCCATAGGTCCTCACCTGGGTGGCAGAGGGAACAATGATGTGATTTCTGTTTTGGGAAAGGTCTGGGGCTAGGATACTGGGAAAAAAGGACAAACCTATCCGGTGCTCAAGTGTTGTAGATGCTATCTTGTTTGCATAAAGAGAAAAAGCATTTATTGTTAGGCTAGGGACCTTAGTTACAAGTACTGTTGGCATTTTTGTGAATTTGGGGGCCCCTCTAAAATACTCTAGCTGAAACTTGTTTGTATGATTGTCTTGAGTGTTTTCAAGAGAACTGTATTTGGAGATGTACCAGTCAACCTTTTCCAGTGTGTGGTGGATCGACAAATGGTCAAAGTGTAACACTCAGATGAACTAAATTCAGGATGGTGCTGGGTGTGGAAGGCCCACCTGAGGATTGTTACCAACATCACAAGCTGGAGAGGAAGGAGGTGTGCTGTTGATTCTTTCTGGAGAAGCTTGTCATTCTGGCTTTCCTGATATGGACTCAGGAGCTCACTGTCACTGAGGATGGCTGTGGTTCTTTTGAATGTTTCTTCCTTGCTCCTGAGCAGATCACTCAGCCCACCAGCACAGACTTCTGGCTTCCACCACTGACCTTGGGGCCTTCACAGTGCAGATCCTTGATATAGACATATGAGACATTGTGATGGCACTAGGCCTCTAGCTGGACTTCTGGAGGACATTGTCTTGGGCTCTAGGTCTTCATTTGGATTCTTGCAAGACATTGCCATGGGATCCAGGCTTTCAGCTGGATTCTTTGGGTCTCTAATATGTGAACAGATTTCCTACACTCTGCACTTCACTTTTTCATGAATATTATAAAATCTTAAAAAAAAAAAAAAGCCCAACTCAAGGAGAGCTTAGAGTGAAATAATTCAAACCCGAAAAGAAAAGTCTTCACTCCAGATTGATGTATCCTGCAAAACTATCTTCAAAATTGGTAGAGAAATAAGATACTTTCATGACAACACCTAAGGAAATATATGACCAGCACTCCAGAATGTTCTGAAGGATATTTTAAAAAGACATAAGGATTACAACTCCAGAAAACCCAGCAAAATGAATTGACCAGGCAAGACAAGCAATTAAAAAAAGAAAGGGGGGCGGATAGCAACAAAAAAATAGCACAAGAAAGATAAATCAATAACTGTCAGTTATAACATCAGTATGAATGTATTATAGTCTGATAATATGCATGGGATAATTTCAGTTTCTTTGTATTTAATCATGTTCTATGAGACAGTATGGGGTCTGTTTTGAAGAATGTCTCATGCAGCTGAGAAGAATGTATTCTGATGTTGTGTAATGGAATATTATATAGACATCTACTAAGAACATTTGTTTGAAAGTTTATTTCTGTTTTGGTATTTCTTTTGGGTTCTGTAGTGCAATGAAATTGGAAATCCATGACAAAATGAACCACAAGAGCTTCATAAACACATAGAAATTAAATAACACCTTCCTGAACCAGTGTGTCTCAGGTGAAATTAAAAGAGAAATTAGATAGTTTCCACAATTAAGTGATAATCCTAATACAACATACCAGAACTTATGGTACAGTGAAAGCAATCCTGTGCAAGAAATTTATAGTGGTGAGTGCCCATAACCGACAAATAGAGCAAGCTCAAATAACCTAATGTTGAATTGCAAGCTTCTAGGAAAAGAAGAACAAGTAAAGCCCAAGGTTTATGCAAGGGTGGAAATTATAAAGATCAAAGCAAAATTAATGCATTGGAGACTAAGAATACAAAGAATCAATGAATCAAAGAGTTGGTTCTTCAAAAAATTAAAGTTGAGAAACCCTTAGCGAAAGGAATGAAAAGACTCAAATCCATGCAATTAGGAATGAAAAAGGTGAAATCACAACAGGTCCTGCAGAAAGCCAGATCATCAGCACCTACTTTGCCAACCTGTATTCTAATAGGATGGAAAACATAGCAGAAATGGACAGATTCCTAGGTACATATGAATTACCAAAGCTGAGTCAAGAAGATATAAACATTCTAAATGTTTATAAATAAACTAATACCAGTCAATGAAACCAATAAAGAAAGGCCCAGGCCCTGAATTCTATATTGCTGAATTCTACAAAAAATTTAGAGATCTTATGTTGCTACTTCTCAACCTGTTTAATGAAATTGAAAGAGAAGCAATACTCCCAAATTCATTCCTGGAACCAAACATTACCCTGTTACTAAAACTAGAGAAAGATCCAACCAAAAAAGATACTGGCAAGCCAATCTCCCTAGAGAGTATAGATGCACAAATTCTCAGTGAGGTACTGGCAAACAGATTTCAGCAAATCATCAAGAAAATTATATACAGTGATAGAGTAGGACTCATCACAGGGATGCACGGATGGTTCAGCATGTGCAAATCAATATACCATATCAACAGAGCCAAAGACAAAAACCCTAAGATCATCTCTATAACTGCAGAAAAAGCATTTGAAAAATTCCAACAATTCCCATCTGATAACAGCCATCTATGACAAACTAACAGCCAACATCATACTGAATGGAGTAGAATTATCTTTGTATATTTCTTTGGTCATTTTGAAAATATTTCATTTAGAAATTTTAGATCTATATTAATGGGTGTGATTTTTGAGTAATTTTTCTTTTTAAAAATACAGATTTTGTGTCAAAGTTATGCTAACACAAAACACATCCCTCTTTTTCTTCTCCTTGCAATTATTTTGATATCAACATTATTTCTTCCACAGATACTTGACAGAAATAAACTTTACCAGTATTATTTGAAATTATGTTTAAAGTTCCTTCATCTTAATTTAAGATGCACTTAAAATTATTCTTAATTTTTCAAAATTCCACTTACTGTCAGAGAAAAAGCTCTAACTTTTTGTTTATATCAATTTTTGCAAGTTATATGTTTTCTGGAAAGTTTTTTTGTGGGGGGGGGCACTGGTGGTTTTATTGGCCAGGTGGCTACTTAAGGGGGATGAAACCAGAAGAGCGAATGGCACCAATGCCAGGCAGGCCGTGCTTCACTGGTTTGTAGGTGATGGAGAACTCGCCCAGGTAGTGGCCAATCATGCCAGGCTTGATCTCCACCTGGCTGAAAGTCTTGCTATTGTAGACACCCACCATGCTGCCCACCGTCTCGGGCAAGATAATCATGTCGCGAAGGCGTGTCTTTACCACCTCAGCTTCTCCATGGGTGGTGCCTCCTTTCTGGCCTTGTGTAGAGGTTTCAGTAGTGAGTGCTGCTTCCACCGAAGCCCATGGTTCGGCTGCCTCCGCTGCCGAGCGCTATAGAGCTGCATCAGCTGTTCGTAGGACATGTCCAGCCCCTGGTCGAGGTCCACACTGCAGTAGTAAACTTGGCGGAAGGTTCACTTCTTCTGTTGCTGCGCTTCTGCCATTTCACCAGGTCTTCAGAGAAGACTGCCCTCTTTGCGTCTGCACAGTTGGAAAGTTTTTGGTACATCACAGTTTTAATATGCCATGGATTATCAATATTTTTGTTTTTTTAACATAGTTTTATTATGTAGTTCAGGTTGTCCTTGAACTCATTATAAAGCCCAGGCTGGCCTCAAACTCATGGCAGTCCTTCTGCCTCAACCTCTCAAGTGTAGGGATTATAGGTGGGAACATCAGAGCTAACTCTCAGGTTACCCGTTTTGAAGGACAAAGTTTAATCTTATATAATCGCAACAGTGTGTTTACTTTCTACTCTATTTGGGTTTAACTTCTTGGCTTTTCCCCTAGCATCTTCACATAGAGGCTTAGTGCACTGATTTTCGATTTCTCTTCCTATTAGATATGTGCATATGAACAAAGGGTGACCTTGAAGGAGGGAGAAGCCTAGCAGGCTGGAGCAGCCAAAGGAGGGTTACAGAGACCTCATTTGGTAGCAGGGAAGTGTGTCATAGGCTGTGAGAACATTATAAACAACAGCTTGGTGGCTGGAAAGCATTTAAAATGTTTGATTATAAAGAACTTGTGACATACACGTAAGTAGATGAAGTAATATAATGAGCCCTTACATACCCATTGTTTGTTCTCAGCTAATGCCAATTCATGGCCTGTCTTATTTTCCACATTATTTACTGCTGTATTAGTATTTTAAAGGAAACCCTGGACTTCCAAGACATCAGTATACATGTCTAAAAGATCTAGACTATTTGTTTAACACAAAATTTTGAAGTAACTAAGACACCTTTCAATAGGTGAATGGAAGAATAAACTCTTGGCATATCCAGAAAGTGAAAAATTCAGCACAGAAAAGAAATGAATTATCCAGCTGTGAAAAATCATGGAAGAAATGTAAATGCATATTACTGAGTGATAAAAGCCAATCTGAAAAGATTACATACTGTACTATTCTAACTGGAGGTCATTTTGGAAAATACAATGGCACAGAGACAAAATGATGAGTGCTTGCGGGGGTGGGGAGGGGGAATCAGGAGGTGGAGCACAGAGGACTCTGGGGCAGTGAAGCTATTCCATGTGGCAGAATAGTGGTGGATATGTGTCATTGTCATTTGTCCCAACTCACAGGATGTACAGCACACTAGGTATAAACCCTGCAGTACACTGTGGGGCTTGGAGGACAGTGATCTGTCAGCATAGGTCATCAGGGTAACAAAGGTGCTGTTCTGGGGAGTGTTGTTGATAGTGGGGAGACTACATATCTGGGCAGGAGGTATAGGGGAGGTGTTTGTATTTTTCTCTCAGTTTTGCTGTAAACCTGAAAGTTGTCTAAAATTTATAAGTACTATTTTGAAGAAACAAAAAATAAGAATCCCTAGCCTGTTGGGGTCCTTGAAGTAAGGCACTAATTAGAGCAACTTTATCTTGGTACTTTGGCCTGTGGCCTCATCCATATGGAAATCTGGCTCTGATAGGGTGTTTTTACTTGCAAACCCAAATTCAAATCTTAGCACTTAAGGTTCTGCTAAAACAAAAGTTACCTGCCCGAATCAGAGGAAAAAGATCCAGTCAAAGATGTTGATGATGCAGAGGTCACTGGAAAACGCGTCCCCCTCAATGTCCAAGAATCTTATCATTTAGAAATTTCTTAAGTAGGGACACAGCCCCAGAGATGAATACAACTGGC